TTTCCTTTTTTTTTTTTTTTTTTGGTATCGGATATCGAACTCAGATCCTTACGCTTGCAAGGCAGGTGGCGGAACCACTGAGCTAAACATTCATTTTTAAAAAGTTCATACAGATCACTTAGTTTTTTCCCAAAGGCTACCACAAATAGGAAATCATACACTAACTGAACATATACAGTTAATGGAATTAAAACTTAATATTCATATCAAGTAATTATAAACTAGCATGAAGTGAAATTCAGAGTTACTTCCATACAGCCATACACAAAAGTTTCACAATTTTAAAGCTGTGCATTTTATCATTAGCGGTTGCCTTGATTTCTGTGTAACAAATCACTATCTATGTAAAGATTTTAAGATTGTGCTCCATTAGTTTGCCAGTCTTAATAAAACTGGGGAAAAGACTGCACCATTAGAGGGAAATGCTCAAGATATATTACACAAATTAACAAACCTAAAAGACAAGATTGTGAAAAACAGAAATAAGCACTTAAAAATTATCAACTAGTCTTCCAGAAACAAATATATCTCTCTCATGGAGTCCATAAAATTCTACATACAGGTTACATTTTCTAGTTATCACAGAAATGGTAACAAGCTCTCTGCAAGTGACAAAGCATTAATCAATGTGAGGCTGATTTCTGTTATCCCTGGTACAGTGGTCTGCAGTAGAATACGTAATAGTAGTAGGTAAGACTCTGTAAGTGCCATGGCTCTGCTTCTTAGGAAAATGAGATGAACGTATGATATTTATACTGTAAAAATTTTTTAAATTTTAATATATTATGACATTTTGACATCTTAAAAACCTTTTCTGGCTGGGGAGACAATGTCTCCCTAGGTTTAGTCAATTCTTAGGGTTAGCAAAGGGCCCAGCCAGGAGCCTGTATCTTTGATATACAAACTAATCAGTTCAGAGCCACATCTTCACAGACTCTGAAGGTCACATTTATTTCTCTTACTCATCCCAGAGCCAGGCACCATCCCTACAGCTCAAAGTCCTGTGAAATGGTTCAAACTGCCCAGTCCTTGTCTGTACCCTGGCCTGCCTTGCCTTTCCCAAAGAAAACCTAAGAAAGGCAGTAGCTTAAACTTTCCCTTTCTTTCCTTTCTGTTTTCTGACTCCTGCCCATCTTTGGTGACTTTCCCAAAGGGGCATATATGTAGTGTCATCTGCCCTCTTGAATTGGTAAGTATAGTAAACTTTGTTTTCCTGAGTCTCTACTGTGTCCCTTTTTGTGGCTATAATGAACTAACCATCTGTTAAATATAAAACAGTACTCAAAGGTACTAAGGTGCCGTCAGGCATGGTCGTGTATGCTTGTAATCCTAGCAACTCAGGAGGCTGAAGCAGGAAGGATTCCAAGTTCAAAGCCAGCTGCAGCACCTCAGCGACTGACTCAGAATTTAAAAGGTTGGAGCAGGGAGAGCAGCTGGGTTGATAACTCAGGTAAAGCATCTTCCTAGCATGCACAAGTCTCTGGATCCAATCCCCAGTATTACAAAAAATATAAAAAAGTATTAAGATAAAAAGGAACGCTCAGCAAATTTAGATAAATAGAGAGATTTAAGATTCTTCTTTAAATAAGGTGTCTGAGGCTCCACTGTAAGGTGAGGGTACAAGAAAGATCCTATACTACATAGAAATCATTCTTGTAGAACTGGGCTAAAAGGGAAGGGAAGGGAAAATGGTTATGTGTACCCTAACTGAGTATGAGGAGAAAGGATGCTGGGAGCCAAAGCCCAGGACACCTGGGCTTGTGTGCTTGGGGGAAAAGAAACAATGGAAAAAGGAACTACAGGAGTTAACTCTTTAGGGGAGAAGGCGAATAACGTAAGACTGACATAAGACACATAAATATTGAGAAACACTGAAAAATATCTACAAAAAGTCCAGAAGGCATAAAGGGAGAGAGTATAGAGCTAGGGATTCTATAAAGTCTTCATTAGAATAGTACTCCTGAGCTAAACCTCAGATCCTATCTACAAAGCTTCAAGGAATCTTAGGTGATGTGCTCAAGACAGTACAATTAGTTAGTGGGAAAGCCAAGTTGTAAGGACTGGCTGGGCTTCGGGAATTAGGCGTGCATGGCTGTGGCCGCAACTCTGGGGTACAGCGCTTGCCTAGTATGTGCTAGTGGATAAGAGGTGACTTCGTACTAATAAGGTAAAACTTAGGAATGGACGACTCACTAGAAAATACAATTTATCAAGACCAACTGAAGAAGAAACATTACCTGCAGAGTCCTACGGCACTCAGAGAAACTGCAGTAGTAGGTGAAAGTCTTCCCACAAAGAGCATGCAAAGCCTAGGGAATTTTACCCAAGGGTGGTTCTAAAATTCCAAGGAACAAATAATATCAATCTCTCACAAACTTTTACAGAGAACAATAATGAAATAAGACAGAAAATACTTCCTAAGTCATTTAGTGAAGTAAGCATAACCGTGACAAAGGTAAGTGTGAAAAAGAAAAAAGTAATACGCCAGTTTCATTCATGAACATATATGGAAAAAACGTAAACAATAATAATGATAATAGTAACCTAGGAAGAACATATATTATGACTAGAGAAGATTTATTCCATGAATACAAGGTTGGTTTGGGGTTAAAAAAAATAAATGAACAGGATTTACCAAATACATTAATGGGGCAGGGAAGGCGGGTGAGATTACATAGACATCTCCAAGAGTGCAGAAAGATGCTTACATTTCAATATCTGCTTATGATAAAAACTCTAGGTAGAGGAACACAAAGTAGCTTGAGTTGAGAAAGAGAACACAAAAAATAAATAAATATCACAGTTAATGGTGAAATGTTAAAAGCACTCTTTAAGGACGAGATAAGGACAGCAGCTCTAACTACTTCTATTCTACTGTCAGGACTACTCAGCAAACGAGGTCAGAAAATAAAACAAGTGCACTGGAAAAAGGAAAAACAGCTATCACTCTTAATTTTTTTTTCTTTTTCTTTTTTGGTACCGGGGATTGAACTCAGGTCCTTGTGCTTGCGAGGCAGGCAGCGGAACCACTGAGCTAAATCCCTGGCCCCTATCAATCTTCATTATAAATAGAGTATCTTAAGGAATCTAACAATAATCAGAATAAGAATTTAATAAATGC